CCGTTCGAAAATAATTGTTCAATTCTGTCGCGCAACTTCCTGTCTTTCCAAAACAGGATATGCTAGGCAGAAAATTTAGTTCCCACAACCACAACTGTAGCAAATTAACTAGAATTTCAAGGAAAATGATTTATTCAAGGTACACTTTATTGGGTAATGATCGGTAATTTGTGTTATTAATAAAATATCTATTTTATGCTGCTGAATTTATGTTCTGTTATACTGATCAACATTTTGTAAATGTCAAAAAGTCAACTGCAATTTTGTGAATGTAAACTAAAATAGCCAATGCCGGCGTCGATAAACTCAGACTGACCCAAAAATGCTTCAAACAATTCGCTAGTACCGGAAATGAATTCACACGCGTTGAATTTTCGTGTTGAAGAACTCACCAAAACAGATTTTCTGTGATTTTATATCAGCAGGGTCGGGTAGGTTCAAACTATGACGTCAAAGCGACATTTGGTTGTGTATCGTCAGTGAGAAATATATTCATTTTATCAACGATCGAGCAGATGGTAGGCGTGAGGACAATCTGAAAGAGCTTTTTACTGCGATTACGCTTTCCGAAATCAGTACAAAAACCACTGAAAACCAAGGGTGTATGAAACAACTGTATATTCGAAGCAATATCGAAATTTTGACGAGATCGCCGGATGACCGATGACGTAATTATAACATACCATCTAAGCATCTGTGAATACTATTTACTCAATACACAAAAGAGGGCAGGTGGTGAAATAAAATCCGTTTAATTACGAAAGGCGTGCGATCTTAATCCCATTAATTCTGCGATAACTAGATTAATTTCGGTCGTCCATCGAGTTGGTGACGCCTAAAGGCCCATCAAGACGTCGCACTAATGGATTGTTGACGTCACAACGCCAGGTAGAAGCAATTGTCCCCGATGTAATTCATATAATAAATAAACAACAAGATAATCTGTTGATTGACGCACCGCGCCAAGACGGTTGACACTTTTAAAAGGTAGAATGATTAACGGTTTTCCAGCAAACGTCCAATTGATGAATGCAAATTTGGACAAGTTTCTAGCGCAGGCATTAATCACTATCAAAATGTCAGGTACGCTAATGGAAAAATGAAGGTTTGGAAAATATGTTGCTATTTTCAAACAACTCGCGACTAGCCTGACACCGATGGCACACTTCATGGTACATCCAACTCGCTTGTCACCAACAGAATAACAACAGATATGTGACAGAAGGTCCGCTTTTAAAAAAAAAGTAGTTGGTAAAGACCGATTGCGCATAAAAATATTCCTCAAACGATAATGATAACCATAAAGTTTAATAAAATGTTGTCAATAAAAAGTTTGTAGACTAAACCAGACCAATCTCAACGTTTATAGATTACCTTTCACAGAAGTTAAATACAAAAGCGCTGAGAATTTCCCAAATACGTACAACAATATGTAGCCGTTGAAGCAACAATGAGAATTTGAATGCACAAGGGTACAAATACAATATATGACTAACTTCAGTTATCGAGCGAGCGGCATTTACTATGTTTTTTGATTGACATAAACCATCATCGGACTCCTTGGGCTTGCTGTGCGTTTTATAAAACAATCAATACCACGCCTGGCTATGTTAGTGCGGTAAAATTTAGCAAGACCACCAGTCAGATGCTCATTTCTCGTAACCTATCACCAAATCTGTCACCGGATGTCGGGGATTTAATGGTTTAAATTAGACAGCGAACGCGTGGATTAGGGACTCTAACTAAACAGTAAAATCAGTCGAAACAAGACTATGGCCTCAAAGTTCAAAGCCTGGATTTGTTCGGCGTTATCCCAATGCGGAACTTCAATGATTTCTTTGCAAAAGAATATCCTAAAATTTATATCGGCCTAATTCGTGGAGTTTAATAAACAATTTGAAAACTTCTGATAGGGTCTTGCCATTAGCAACGGTACATTGTCCTGGAAACGCATACGAGGGAAATTTTGTTGAGTTATATTCTTAAAAATCCCTATTTTCTAGTCTGTGAAGTTTCCATGGATAAATTGAAAACGCTACCAAACGGCCTCGCGGTTAGCAATAGAACATTGTCTTTGAGCCACAAACGAAAAAATTTTGTACATGTATATAGGTTAGGAAAAAATATCGGTATTAACTAAAACATGTTGTTCTCCACGGCAATTTCAACTACTATTCATTACGCTAGTGAAATTTGTCAAAAAGACATACGAAAACTTGGCCAAGTCATATCGTTTGTTTCTCACCATTTGTACATGTATTATTATTATTACATGTTTCCCACGTCAGTAGTTGTGAGTATGAAATGAAATATGCGGCACTTTGATTTTTCAATCAGATATCAAACTATAAACAAAAATAAGCGGGAATGAAAATGAAAGAATGTCACTGTCCCGTTGGTTAATTTTGAATGATAACCAAATATTATATTATACAATTCCTGAAACAAGATTGTTTCATTGCTCATTGGAAATCAATTAATGTGAGAAATAGCGGAGTAATAGATGAAACTCACACTGAGGGAACAAATTGAAGATTTACCGAACAACAAACATGACTAACGGTTCAAATAAACCAATGTTTATGTTACTGGGTCGTTTATCGATAGTATGACGCACGTACGCTTCAAGTCGTTGACAGAAAGAATGATTAGAAGGACGAAAACCTTTTTCATTTCCTTATCGGAATCTCATTTCAACGAAACGCGAAAATGACCAATTAATTTGCCGCATTTTCAGATGAATATATTATTCGTTCACTCACAAAACGTTTGAGATTTTGAGCAAAACAACAATTGCAGTCACTGAGTAAATAAGTAAAACCCTAAAAATCTTATTTATGCGACAATACAATTCTTTCGCCCTATGCTCACCAGAACAAAACAACATATTTTATATCTAACCACTAGCAATTACAGAAACACATGCAACCACACTTCCTCACCTAAATACCAGAGAAAAACAATCATGGAAATGGAATTTCCGCGAATTTGGCATTTATTAATATTACAAACAAAGAATTTGCAAACCGTGGGCATATAAAATTTGCGCTGTATTGGGCATCGCACACAATGGATTCCTCCTAACCAGGCACATGTCAATAAGAAATTAAGAGAATCGAGGCAATATAATTATGAGAAAAAAAACATTGTTTATATAAGAGCGAATATAACGACCTTTTAGTCATCTCAGATAAGACAATTGAGGGCGACAGAATCGATATTTCAGCATTTCTTAGAAAAATTTTGTTGACAACTGTATTCGTTTAGGGCAAATTAGCGAATTTAAAAAGGAAAGCCGCACTTTGAGATTTATCACACAGCAAAGGAATGTTGCAATAACACGCTCTATGACGTCAATCGCAAATGGCGTGTGGCATTGTGAAGTATGAATCGTTGTGAAAGCATCCAGCCATAACGAAGACAACAAAACTCAAAAGGGAGACAAAAACGAATCAATCCACAAATTGGCAATTCTTGTGAAACCAATTTTGCAGGCTACACTAAGTTAATTATCAAGTAAACAAAGACCTTTCAAGACCCGTCAGTCATCCTAATATTCAGAATTCCATCATTAGTAAAAGTCACTAGACCATTACTATAAAAAGGGTATTCACTACAAATGTACAGGCAGCTTTCAATAAACAAATAGTTGTAAAATGTTAGTTACTGCTGCTGTTAGCATGCGATATATATTTCAGCTTGAAAGATTAGATCCAAAATGACAGAGAAAAACAATTCAAATCATCGAAAATTAATAAATTCTGTCTGGAATGTATAATATTGTTATGTGCGGAAAACAGAAGCGTGAAATTTGTTAATCTGGTTAAACCTAAACATAACCTTCGAATAGTGGGATAAGTCTGTTAAAAATTATAACACACAGAGCACTGACACCAAATGAGTCAAAGTTTGAGCGCAAGTTCAAGTCAAAATTCAGTCTAATGTGTCTAATTTCATAATATTTATAAACTTTGGAGAGAAATTTCAATGGTTTAACAAAGTGTGTACGTGACTTCCCCAGAGTAACAATTATCCTAAAAATATGACAAAATTATTTGAATTGAGTTTGAATGATACCCAAAATCTGTTGACTAGTGCAGGCAATTTATATAAAATTTATGAAATAATATAGTATAGATAACTACTCTATAAGTTCTATAAAAATACAAATTGAAAACTGCAAGCTAGATATTGAATGACATAGGCCTACATAATAGCAATGATATGTATAAACTTCAGAAAATTGTATATATTTTAACAAACTGGGCTCGCCGTACAAGCCATCACCCTCAGCTTCCCCCAGTAACAGTTACTTTAATTAATTGATGGAATCAGAACCTTAATTAATTATTGCAATCAGAAGATATAAGGAGTATTTGACTACAGAAGTAAAATTCTTTAATTAATATTTATACAGTAACTATGCTAATCTCGATGCAAAACTTTCAAGGTGTCAAAAATGTAAAAAATTGAGTGAGAACTCGACTGATATACATAATAGCAAAATATACCTTGCGGTGAGACAAATAACCAAATGTTGACATTCATTAAAGGTAATGTACCGAATCATACAAGAGTAAACACAGGAGAGTACAGAGCGTTCTCCATAAGATCAAAGTATTTCAAGAGCTGAGTCATTGCAACAAATCCACATAAAACAGTTCTAACCTAACATCCCTTCCACCTCAAAACCTCAATGTATTACATGCAACTAATATAGTTCTGTGGTTGCAGCAGTTATTAAGATTATTATTAAAAAAATGGACGGAATAAGAAGTATTGCTCATTAGTACAACACATAGCGCTGTCATCGATTTAGTACAATTGAAAAGAAAACGTCAATACAATGCACCTTCTGGAACTCCTCACCTCATTATTCCAAACCGCTGAACAATCTAATAGTGAAACCCATTTCATCTTATGCTAATAACTTTGCTAGAGTCAAAAATTAAAACATTTTTTTTTTATTTCATCAGATTTCAAAACACGGATTTGCTAACCTGATACAGTTTAACAATATTAGGATGATTCAATTTCTTCATTATTTTAATTTCCCGATATATTTTATCCAGATTATCTTTGTCCAGCTGTGTCTTGTCCACAATTTTTATGGCAACCTGAAACAAAAATCACAGCAAATTTAAAAAATTTTGTATGAATAAGTTTAACAGACATTTAGAGATGCCGAAAGCCAAATAATTTATTATTCCAAATACATTATGAAATATTATTTTCAAAGGTAAAATGTTGAATATATTCTACATTCAGTCATGTTTAATAAAGAACCTTGAAGAATTAATGTCGCCTATATCTGAATATGAACTTAACATACAGAAAAGATAATGAAACGGTGTATATTAATTAGTTCCATATTACATGCGAGAATGCAATTGCCCAAAATTAAAATTTATCAAATGAAAGTATTTCAAAATATTCCTTAAGTTCGGAATATAGAATATTTAATTTTTAATTGTTTCGAATATTCCACTCGTTATGGACATCCCTGTGTATATATTTCATAGTATTGGTAAGATTTCCACGAAAATGAATGACGCATTTCAAAAATTCAGGAAAATTGTTAAATTTACAAGTCATGTTCTCAAAATGTTGAGAAATGGTTTCCATCTATTTTTAGAACTTGCCACCTGCATTTTAAGCGCAGGATTTAAACTTGTTGTCTTTAAATCCAACTCGCATACAAACTTTGCAACGACCCTTGAAACATTTGATGCGGAAGGGCAAAGACGAAGCCACAACATAACACGAAAAAATACTAAAGTATTCAAATATGCATCAAAATAAGTTCAAAATCAAGACCATTAAAATTTATTGATTTTTAGTTTAACAGGGATTAAAACTGGTTTTCAACCTTTTTTCTTTATCAATCAATAACTATAGCAATTTTTGATAGCATCGAGGCCCACATGAAAATGTTTCTGTTTCTGCTTTAGAACCGGTAGATTAGAAAGAGAAAATAAATTTTGAAAACTTTCTTCAAGTCAAACTCACGTCAAAGTATAGTCATAAACAACCCCTGGAGTAACACGGGCCTTCAAAGAAACCGACCAATATTATATGTAGAAGCGCAGCCCAATTATGAGTATGCATCAAAAGAATACGTGCTGGCAGTTAAAACTTCGAGTCAGTTGTTTTGACTCAAAACAGTCAGTGATATAAAATCCAGCATGACTGGGGACTTTGGCGAAAACCTTGTTTAACTAGAAGGCAAGTTGACAGTAAACTGACAGAAGCTTAAAATCAACTGACTAGAGAGTACAAGAAATGAAAATGTTTTTCACTGGAAAAAAGTCGAAATGTTTCAGAAAATGTTTAATAGATTATATTAGGATAAAATAACTCAAAATTTAAAATGGCACTGCAATTATACAACTATCAGATGTATAATTAATACATTAATTTAAAAAAAACAATTCTTTCAATCAGTTAGGACATTTAGCAGAATTCACATATTTTGAATTTTTTCAACAAACCCTTGACAGACTGCTTGAACTGGCTATTTACGAACAATCAATATCTATTTTGGGGGCTTTATATGACCCATTGTACTTCGGTGACGGATATAGACCCCTACACTTAAATGTGGAAATGAATTCTTTTCACAATTTTTGGCCTTATCTCCAACCGCATACCCAAGAACTTAGTAGTAGGCTTGAGTTGAGGCTCATATTACATTTGCACCTGTGTGAGCCAGTTCATCTTCAATTCTGTTCTGTCATTCACAGAAAAAAACAGCAATAATTCCTGCTTAATGAAGCAGATAATTTGACATGGAAAGTCAATATATAACTGTCTTTACTCATATTATTGACTGTATACTTGGAAGTTTCTAAACACCACTGACAGTCTTGAATACGAAATTATATTTTGAATAAAAGAGTGACTTTGGTAAGAAGTGACCATTTCTATATCAGTTGCCTAGTTTAAATGTTTAAATGTGTATATGCACAAATGGATTTCTGTATCAAGCAATAAATTAGGCGCATTCATAACACTAGTAAACACATTAAGAAGTCTGGTATAAAAAATTATTTTTTTCCAGTGCGGATCAACTTCTGTTATGGTGCAGGATAGCATAAAAAAGCATCCAGTATGTTCAATGGCATTATTTTAATATACATCAAAAAAATTTATGCAAATCATAAAAAGATGATTCCTTATTAGTAATGAAATAAGACTTATCACAAACAAATTCTAATAAAAATAAATCCTATGAAACAAATACAACAGCAGCTAGACTAAAAATTTCTAATAGTTTGATAGCTTACCAAAAAAATATATACAAATGCCAAAATGTTTTACTCACTTTAGTCCTTGTAACAACATGCATAGCAAGTTTGACAACGGCAAAATTTCCTTTCCCAATTGTTCGTTCGATTTCATAGCAACCGACTCTGTTTAATCCAGAAGACCGATTTGAGCTGAAAGGGCGACCAGTGGTCCCCGTAACTGCCCCTCGTCTCGACGCCATGTTCGAGTTTTTACACTTCGTAGTTGAAGTATAGAAAATTATAACAATTTTTATGAAAGTCGCAGGTAATGATCATGTTTTAAGTTCATCACTTCCAACCTGCTACTTCCAAATAGTACAGAAATATATTTGAGATCATTTAATATATATATAATAAGATTCTGTGAAATAGAATATACATTAGTTAGCATTGTCTTTAAGTAATAAGTGGCACAGTCACACAGAATCATTCTAAATTTTAATAAAATACTCAAATACACACATGTTAAGACAATATAGGTTTTGGAAAGATAGCAAAATGAAAAATTGTCAAAACGTTCACTTTTACGAGGTGTTTTTACATATTCAATCATAATAACCATCTGGAAGCAGCCACTAAAAGCCAACATCATTAGGTCTGCTCTACCTACCAGAAAATTTCACTTCCTATCTGTAATACTTTAATCCTATTTGGTAATACTAATAATACACAAGCTATTGATTAAATAACATGAATAAACACAACGATTGATCACATTAACGCTAACGATAACAGGTGGAAAGCAAATTACATGAAAATTAATTCTTTCGATATAATTTACAATGGAAACAATATAAGGAAGTAATTAGTAAGAATATTATTTTCTGAGATATTCTTATCCTGTTATTAAAATTACAGAGATTGTCCTATTCTTATGGCTAATTACAGTATAAATAAGATAATAATATTAATCTATACACTGCTTTCTTGGTAGTTAAATAAAATTCGTCTATAATTTGATCAAGTAATTGTCCAATAAAGTACCATTGTGGGAAATATAAATGAGGAAATCTGTATACCTGGCAAATGTACGGTAAGTCATATAATTAGGATTTCAATTTTAATATATATTGCAGGAAAAAATGTAACTGGTCAGGATATCACAGAGAAACATCCAAGGAGCAAGCGAGAAAGAGCAATACATAATATTCATATCAAGCTTTCCACTGATGTTTTTACTTAACACGATTCAAAAATGTTTACTTTCGAACACTTCCGAATAACATTTAATCAATGATTGAATTGAATCTGATTTATTAATTTAGTCAAAATCAATGCAACAACACTGTTTTCAAAACTTCTCAACAGAACATTTGTATTGAATTCAACCACCTACTAAACTAAATCGATCAATCACATAGCATTCAGCATTCCATTAGCGACAATATGTACTGCTCAATGAACTCTGAAGCAGATAGATTACATAAAAAAGGTGCTTATTTATCTATAAAGTAGGTAGGTAAATAAATTGTTATGCAGTTCAATTAAGGGCAACTCACTCACGTGACCACGTCTGTTGGAGAGTAACTTAGAGTAAGTTTCCCAATGTCATTAAGGCAGCGCAATACTCATTTGCAAATAAAACCGGATACAGAAATATATTGGCAAACAAATTCGGTCACCTCAATGCAAATAACTTTTCACCTATATTATACTTATCAAGTTATCTATCTCAGCAAGTAAAGTCTGACAGTGCAAGTTTTTAAATAGGACAAGATCGAGAAACTTAAATTCAACAAACAATTAGCAACAATCTGTAAGGACCAACTCACAAAAACACTTTCAAAATGAGCACCAAAGATTTTCCACGGTAAGATATGGTAACAATTATTCTGGGGGGGAAGGGTCACAAAAACATCTACTAAAACATAAAATGAACAAAATTATCCACCGTAATCAAGCCTATTCTGTTTACAAAACTATTATGCAATTGACCAAAAAAGTAGTTTTCACAATATATTATAACAATAACTTGGTTTCTGCGAGACTAACTACTTATCATTCTTCTCTGCTTTTATGCCGGTGGATGCATATTGGAATAATATATTAGTATATTGTAATCATAATACGCAGCAATAGGCCTACTATTATTATAATTTAAACAAAGCTTTTGTGTCTGAGCAAAGTACTTATTAACAAAGAGTGAAACAGAAAACAAATTATTCTGATCGCATAACATACGGTAATGGTGATCTGAAATTTGCAGAATATAAAAAAGCAGACAGGAAGTCATTGCTCAGTATGAAACTCGACCTGCCGCATACAAACGTGAAATTTAACAACCAAGCAAATCGACGTTTGTTGAATCATAAAAGACAGAGTACTGACTACTGGCCATGTAGAAATCTTTTAATATAAAATAGATAAGAGAGTAGAATGAAATTTTACTGAGATACTTGAAAATAATAAAATCAAATTTTTTTAAATAAAAAACAGATTGGAGAAAAGTGTCTCATATTGATTTTTTTGTCTTATACCTAGAAATGCCACATTTTCCAAACCTACAATTTTCAAAGAATCTATATCTTCGAAAAATATTTTCGTAATATATATATATGAAAATAAGAAAACGGATACCCCTATTAATTGAAGTAGTTTGCTACCAATCTAAACTTTAATACATCACTAGAACAAATCCTAATCACAATTCACAACATTAGAATGATTAAAAAATAAAACAGCAAATCAAGCATGATAAAGAGAGTTTGCTCAATGCAAACCTAGAACTTAAAAAATGTAATCTAAAATAATATCTCTGACTTTCAATCAAAGAATAAAATCAACCCAGAAGCTAATAATTCTTATTATATAATCTGTCTACATTCATGAACTATAACTATATTGCCAATTTAGCATCACAAAGAAAATTTGAAAAAAACTATATTTCAAAATATTGAGCCAACTTTTTTCCTGCTTCCACAACAATTTAACCAGCTTGAAATTCCAAAACACCTCCCGTATATCCAAGTCAGTTGGAGTGACGTTAAAACAGCAGTCTAATAATCTATGCAAACACTATTAAACATGCAATTTATTAGATCCACATGCCTTCACTCCTCGCTGACATCTGTGCATAATCCAACTCACATGCATATAATAAACCTAATCAATACTGATAATGAGCTTCAGGTAATTGGTTAACTCATTAGAGAAATATAATGAGGTGGGGTGGCATTGCTCAACCACTTTCTCTTGTGGCAAAGCGAGAGCGAAGACAAAACAGAAATCACAAGCAAAAGCGAAACTATCAAAAATTCATATCTTATTAAGAAAAACATAATTGATTAACAAAATATATAACTAAATATAATCTTGTTATTACTACAATAAAGTATATTCCCTCCTTTTTACAGTGATTCGAATTCAAGCATTAATATTTGTGGTACAACTCATATTCAGAAAACATTTTCAACAACTTATATTTTTTATTAAATTCCCATTTCAAGACTATAACTTTGATGAAGTCTAATATGGTTATTTCAGTAGTAATTAGATTCATCCTGTGACTAGATTCAGTGGGGTATTACAAGCTACATCAGTGAAAAATTGGGCGCTCCTGGAGTGTGCGTACCAAGATGGCGAACACCGGGATGTAGTATGTGTACCAGGATAGGGTTAGGCCATAATTTTGATACAAATACTACGGGTATCACTTGGCTAGTCCATAAACTCGTACTAGAACTGAAATTAGGATCTTGATTCAGGCGACAGTACCATTATCGAAGCATCAAGCACATATTATTTCATAATACAGCATTATGCTTTTGTTAGTATGAGTACAGAAATATATCTTCAATCACTTTTTAACCATACTTCATTTTTGACTTTCTTGTTTTTGATTAATACCAATGTGTGAAATGCTTCTCAGACAGTCAGGGAGCTGGTTCACATAACCACTGATGATAACACATCACAGCAGTTCTTCCCCCACTTCCCACTGCCCCATCCCGATATAGACTAAATGATTGAATCCATATTTCTTGTGTATGTTGGAATGGGTAGTTCTGTCATAACCCTGAACCAAATGAATTATGAGCCTTGCGGACAAAATATAATTTTCATCCAATGTCTCACCTTGAACGTCTTCCATGCTCATGTTTCGTGATACAATCCTCCTAGCTAAATGTTTACATACCTAATAAGATTGATATATTTGAGTCATTGTAGTATTGGCCTTATTCCAGTATACACTGATTCAAGATTGCCTATTGTCCTAGGAAATTGGTATAATACCTACTACTGTACTACTGTACCGTACTATAAGCGGTAAAGGGACATTGACACTCAAAGAGAGCTTAAGTCATCGCAATACAAGAAATAAAGTTTTTTTGACAAATAGGCATGATAGTCTATAGCAAAATAAAATATCATTACCTGCTGAACCACAGCACTACCGGTATCAGATTAATTCAACGACTACGGTACCGTACTCAATTAAAGGACCTAGCAATCTGACATTAGTGACATTCGTTCTGTTCTGCCAAGCAATTTGAAACTAACGGTACGTAGGTGACACTGAAGTACGACTCTGTTCATCTACACCCTGAAAATTTAATTTAAAAGAATAATATACAAAAACCTCGGCTGTGTATATTCGCGTTCAACTGATATTTCCAACAACTAAAATTGCGAAATAAATCAGGCAACAGCAGCCTGAACTGGAAAGCACGACTATAGTCGCCTTTTTGTGAAATTGTCAAGTCTTTAAATGAAAATCTTATGACTCACTATCTCCACTAGTGCTGAAGGCGATATTTTTACTTACCGTAATTATCATATTCATATTTTTATTTATTGTTGGTAATAAATGTTATAAATTTCAGGATAGTAGTGAATTTTTAAAATCAAATGTAACCGCCCACGTAACCGTTGGCCGGTTACGGCTTCCTCCGCCATCAATTCCATATATCTGAAAAATAAAAAATAACTGGCTAACTAATCCCATACTTGAGATGGTCTGGTAACCGGACGAAAGGCGTGGTTCGCCATATTATTAGGCCGTTTTATCGACTTTTCACTCCCCCAGATAAATATGTAAATTATATTCTATGATACAACTTAAGCATTATTGTCCTTGATTTTTCATATTTCAATACTCGAAATACTTTTTGCAATTTATATATCCTTTTCTTTGGATCCTTCCCATGTATTTTTATTATGCATTTTGTTTTTGTATCAATCAATGCCTAATGTAGACATTTACATAAAACATAAAAAGCAAGTTCATTTACATAACATTAATGAAGTCAATAAATACTGGTTACCAAGTAGGGCTGGGCATATATTCGAATATTCAACTATTAAAATAGCAATTTGGTAACAGGTGACGTCACAGATCACATGCTAGTCGCTTTATTAAACGATTGAATTTCACAACCTACTTGCGATTTTCCGACGACAACACGAGTCTATACACGCGTCTGTAGATATCTAAGTGGTGTTTCTCGCGAGTTCGAACAATGAAGAATATTTTTTTTTTCTGGTAGATGTCAAAGGTGACAACCCAAATTTTGCTAAATTGAAAGGCGGCAATACAAAATACTAAAAATAAAACGAATAACACTATAAGTTTTGTTTTATGATGTTTCGCGACCGGTTAAAAACGCTTTTATAGAAATTGCAAATTTCGGATGCTACCGTAGTAAACGAATCAGGGCCCTTTCCCTTAGGATTCGTTGCTTTACTGCCTCCACATTGGTACGTACAGTACTAGAGCGCCGTAAGTGTTGTTCGAACAGCTCAGATTTGTCGAATTCACAAAAATACGAATCAAAACAAAATATAATCGGGCACTTTACCACGCATTTTTGTGTCCACGGATAGTCATGATATTGATAATGATAGTAATACAGTATTGCTTTTATTTCGCAGCCGCAGATTAGAATGATCGCAATTAAATTAATAATAAAGCAAGGCGATGAATATGTATTTTTGATTTACTAATATACTTTGAATATATTTTCATTAAGTACTAAATAAAGTTGTACTTTCTGGAAATTTAGAGCAGATAGTAGGATATATATTTCTAACGGCGATAACAAATTCGCGAGAAAATGGGAAGACATTTTAAATTCTCATCGTTGAAATTCATTAACTTTTGTTGTGTTTGGTTTTGTTGCTTTTTCACACATAGCACGGTTGCAATAAACGCACATTGAGTCCTCGAAGGTTTTCGCCGATGAGAAAATAGTCCGCGATCAAAAAAGATTGGGAAACGCTGCTCTAGCACAAAGGTCTGCAACCTTCATTACAGAAGGGCCAGATAGGAGTAACTGGGTGAAGCCGCGGGCCGCACCTTTATTTGAGATAACCTTTCTAGTAGTTTCAGGCACAAATAGATTGTTTCTTTTTGTTATTGATCGTACGGAATTATTAGCGTTCCTTGCAGAAATGGTGAGTTAAAGCGCATAAATGCCTAAAGAAAACTGTTATATATTCAAAATCATTGTTACTTTGAACGAATTCAGTGAGAAACACGCACGTAACAGATCAACTAAACTAAAAACTCGTTTCGCGGGCACTCCATTCAAAATTGGCACTTCTCCGCGGGCCGTACAAATTTTCCGTTCTGTAATTTGCACTCTCCTGCTCTAGCAGATCAACGGTTCTATGATCAACTGCAGCTACGATCTAAGAAAAACGGATAGGTGCAATTTGGCGAAGCAGATGACACTGCGATGGTGAAGGTAATGGCAACCCACTCCATGTTTTCTGCAAAGTTCAAATCATGAGATGTCTTCAAAATAGAATCAGATGATCAATTAAGTTCTACGGCATGAACATGCCACGACACTAGAAAAAGTGATGTCTACAAAACGATGAAAAAGAAATACAAACGCAACTGTAAGCGAAATAGATTCTCATTTGCCTAACTCTCAGGAAGGAATGAAATATGCAACTCAGTATAATAAATTATATTTCATGGCAAATTATACAACGGTAACATAATGCAAACTTATTGCAAACATTGCAGAATGATAGAAAATGAAAATTTATACTTTCTATAACAGAAGCATATAATTCTAACATGTACTCGAATTGGATACATTTCCCAACATCAGTCTACACACCTGGGAAAGCTCTGAGCTGTCGACGTAAATCAAGCAGACAAATATCACCCTGAATATGTGTAATCGAAGTATATTTTTTAGAAAAATCTCGTTTTAGTTGGTAATACCGCGTTAAATACTTTTCAGCCAACTTCTAATACCCTAAATTCACTCTTTTTATCAATGGAAACTTACATGCTAATATCAGAAACTTCATGACAAATGGTTCGAATTGAGATACAGAATAAAAGACTCCAGTTTCGTTTGTTCGAGCTCAAACATTAAAGCAAAGATCGCTAAAATGAAAATGACGTTTGCGCAAATTACAAGCTTCGGTTTGATCACAGAAAAAAGTTCGAAAAACTAATTTGTCAATGGTCCAAGATATTCTATTTTGACTATTCCAGGTCCAATGTTATTTACGCCAACACTGAGGCTACGTCCCTGTTGGGCATCAGCAAATGATCCTCCTCCGCCAGAATATCCTTCGTCAGGTCCGCCCCCACCTCCAGAATATCCTCCTGCTCCTCCTGATGCATAAGAGGCAGCTGATCCTCCTCCTCCAAATCCACCGTCTAATGTATTTCCTTTGCTGTCTTCAAATGTACCGCCGACTCCAGGGGCTTCTACACCTGATCCATGGCTTGTAAATGCCTTGGATGGTTCAACTACACCCCATCTCGAATCTCCAGATTCCGTACCGTCGTGCATGAAGCCTGCTCCTCCACCTAAAAAATTATACATTGCGAGTTAAAAGCCTGATTTTTGTGGTTATTTCGTGATTCGTTTGCATTCGTATAAGATAGATTTTTTCATATTTGATATTTATCACGATGAATGGAAAAACCGGTTACTAGTCCATGTTGAGTATATATGGGATAGTTAGTCAGATATTTGATCCAGATGCATATATATACTGACTGACATCTGTGCGTGATAATTTAGATGATTTTAATGTCCAAATCCAACTAATCCGACGGAACAAAACAAAAGTTCATTCAATAAGAGAATATTATTAATATTATTTCATATTATGCCGAAGGTTTATTAAACGGAAGTGCGGACTTTCGCTGGCAACCATAGTACATGGACCAAAACGAAGGTTTTACACTAGTGAAACACGGTCCTATATTTTTGAACAGCAATAAAAATACATAAACTATAAACAAAACTATAAAAAGATGCCCATGAAATACAACAACAATATTTTAAATTTGTACTACCAGGGGTGTTTCTCCCAGCTGCTTTTCCTCCCCTCTCCCCTCCTTGTCCGTCTTTACCACCATGTCCGTAGTTAATTCCAACTTCAGATCCATCTTTTCCATCTGTGCTGGCACTGGCATCAGTGATCTTAATAAAGCAAAGATGATAATTAGTGACGTGCAGTAAGTTCAGAGTTCACCAATTCAGGAATATAGAAAAGTGTTTCTAATTAAAATCGCTATAATAAGTAACAGTTTAGGTAACAATCACTGTAATTGTAACGAAGTTTAGCAAGTTTTCTTCGGAATTCTGAATTTTCGGGGTTGAATTTGGGAATGCAGACTCACAATGATGATAAAAAAAAGTCAAAATACCCTGCCGCAACTTGATAAGCATTAAGCTCACTAACCGATTTTAACAGTTTAACTTACATTGTTATTATTAACATTTTTCTTCGATCTCAAAAATCGGGCCAAAATTTTTTTGTTTCAACTTGGGTCGTAAATCGGGCTCGATTGTTCCCTTTTTTCGGCTGCACAACAGTGATGAAATTCGTATAAGCAATTTTTAGAAGTTATTAAATTGAGCAAAAGTTACAAACCTTTAATCTTGCAGGAGCAGTTCTTGTAGCTGAACATCCCCCACCTCCTGCTACAACTAGGGGTTGATCAACCCAGTCAACAAATTTAACGACAAAAGTTGCTCCCGAACCACCATAATATGGCAGATCTGGTATTCTTGAACCTTTCTGTCCTACAAGAACCTATAAATGAAAAGAGCGAAAGTAATATATTGTGTTATTGATAAAAATGTAAAATTTTGTCAAAACACAACATGGAGCGGTTTCGGACTTTATGCTTTATTAGACATGATGCCAATCTGGTGCTACAAAATCGGAGTTGCGACATCGCTCTTTTTCGTAATAAATTAGTCAATCGATTTCAAGTAGTTAATGATAAAAATGGTTCACACTTCACACTTTATATTTTTAAATTTTCTCCGAGTTCTATTAGATCCGATATTCACTGAAAATTTCGCTGTTTTATTTCAATTTATGGGAACATTGTATTTATTCCGACAAGTGTTTCCGCTCCCGTCACTGCTATCCTTCGTTTTGTTTTTGCGGACTCGGCGGGCTTGCAGTAAAGTAGCCTACTAGTTAATGATACCGATTAGCATGAGGCTTGCGCTAATCAAGCTATCTGACGTAGTCATTGACCCTCGTCTTCAAATATATATTTGAGCATTGCTTTATTGAAATATAAAATGCCGTCACGATGTTTCGCATTTAGTAATGTATACTATGAAGCTAATAGAATTATATTCTCTAAATGTGAAGTACCAACCTTTACGACATTGTCCTGTTTCAAATCAAATTCTCCACTAACAGTAGCACCACGTCCCGCAGTATGTTGCAAATGTTGTTGTCCTGCAGGTCCTTTAGCTTCAATTTTATATCTACCGCTCTTAGGAACAATCCAAAATTGAGTGCCGTCTTTTACTGTCACTTTCAAGTTAGTATTTTTATAAGTGTGATTACACATTTGCTCCGTCGGGCCAAACCTTCCGTGCGTTTGGCCACAGTCTGTGAAAATATATAAGTTCATGTTGCCGTGTGGTTGAAGAGCGACTGCGGTTCCTCTTTGTTCTGCACGTGTATCATTCTTAGCTTTGTTGTCTAGTATTATATTATTATTAACACCCCCAGCTATAGCAGTTGTCATTTGGCATCTCATCTCTATCGGATCTTTTCCCTCGTCTTGCAAAATCTAAAACAGTTGAATAATTGCTATTACTACACCAAATATTTGAATTTTTTTTGCATCATATTTAAGCATTATTTTTTTTTGAGTTCAGCTCGAAATGATAATTAGAAGTGTCCTTGGCACTCCCGAAGAATGTGAACCAAGATGGCGGACACCGAAACGTAGTGTGTGTACCAGGTTAGGGTTAAGCCATAATTTCAGGTACAAATATTACGGGAGTCACTTGGCTAGTCCCCGAACTCGTAACAGAACTAAAATAAAAAAAAAATTGGGATAAAATTATGGCCTAACCCTAATCTGGTACATATACTACGTTCCAGTGTCCGCCATCTTGGTTCACATACTTCGGGAGTACCGAGTCCTTTATAATTTTGAATATATAAACAATATTTTATTTACGCCCTTGATCAGGTCTACTAAGAGTCGAGTAAGAAAGGTGGTAGCTTGTACTCAAACTAACAACACCTATATACAACAAGTAATTGCGATTGTATATACTTTCAAATCAGGTATCGTTTAGATGTATTGATAGCCCTCAATAATATGATACGCTTGCGTGTTTTTCCGCATATGGTGGTCAATAACGTAAAATAACAAAATAAACTCGGCAAAAAGATCTGATTATTATATATATTGGATTGAAGAGTCTTGCATAACGCTAACACATAAGTATTTCTGCAAAATTTCGTCTGATCGAGGCCTGACTTCTTCAGACTAGCATATTCCAACTTAGCTGTTTAACTTAAATTCGTGTTAGTCTGTAGCAAGACTCTTTTATTAAATACAGTAGCCATATTCATTCTAGTCACAGCCTCTTTCCAATATACGCGTACGGATATACTTGCGCAAAAGCATATGGCAAGGAAAAGTAGTAAGCCTCTCGTAACCCCAGCGGATAGGTATTCTATATGTGTCTTTTAATATTCATACCATGTAATTTCCAGACTTCGTAACACCGGATTTTTGTAGTGCTTCACACGATGGTACCGGATAACCGACGTCCCATTTGCAGTACAATGGTCCGACTGTAGACTTTCCTCTTTCTCCATTATCTTCGGAAACGTCTCCAAAATTAATTTGAGAAACAGGTAGTACGTTTTTGTCCTTGAGAAAACCTGCATTAAAAATATTACATGAGAAAATGCTGGCCAGGATTTGTCATTCGATATATTGAGAACAACATTATTTTACAGGGTATTTCCGATTCCATTTATTCCAGATAATATCAAAATGGAATACTTTCAGTATTCCGAGATTTGTGCGTTGGCTGAATGTCTCGAAGTGTCTAATTGTTAAAAAAAAGAAAAAGAGAAAAAGTATGATATCAATGCTTTACAGTCAATAAAAAATAGACGAACAGTGCTCTCTAAATATTGTCAAATAACATATTAATAGCGTTCACATATTAAAAGTTATCAGATTTCAAGCACCATTGAATACATTCAATTCTGTACGGCGTTTAGAAGGATGAAATTCCTAAATTGAAATTCGGGCCCGTTGGGTACTTCAATCTGGCCCGCCTGATGCTGCCACAACCAAAATAAAACAAAATTTTGATGTTTTAGCTAAAAAAATAACTGAAGGAATTTGTTGAAATTAATTAAATTTAGTTTTGGCACGAGGCTTATTGTTTTCCACTTTTGCGACACTGTAAATATTGTTCATATAATGTAATTTTCCACGTCACACAATTTCACATACACACATTTACATGGCCCGCTAGTCTACATGTGCAAAATTTTTGGCCCCTCGCCCAAAAGCCTTGCCCACTCCTGCAGTAACCACTATGTTATATATCGCACATTTGTTTTTACCAGAATTAATGCCGCGACTACGTGTAGATTCTATATTTTTGACAATAACAAAAAAATTCAAATGATATTTTCAACAGAATAACATATACTTGATCGCTATACTACAAACCTTGATCATACAGCCAGGCTTCGGAATCTGCATCACAATTACAAACTTCATTTTTATCTGCACAACTTCCAGTTTCACCACAAGCACACATGTTGCTACCCGGTGTTGCTCCGCCCCAGTAGTACATTCTCTTGCCTTGTCTTGACACCCACCAACCGGTTCCTAAAAATTTGTACAATTATTTCAATGATATTTCTAATAGATCTTGACACATATGACTATTTCAAATGCCAGTTTAGTGTATAGGTGGTCATTCAATGGGCAATTGAGACTATGTATCCATTTACATTTTTCACTAGCAGAGAAAATGATTTTGGTTATCTTGGTTTTTGATAAAGTCGAATTTATCGCAGTTGTAACTTGAAAAAATAAAAATAAAACTGTATAAAAGTTAATATATAGGTAAAACAAACAATAGGCTTGCACGTAATTTACGGATTTACGGAATTACGTAATTATTTGGAGTTACGGAAGGGAAGTTACGAATTACGTAAAGTCGTAATTATTGCATTGCAACGAGCTTTCTTCAAAGCAGTCAATTTCGTCGATTGCGAAAATGAAAGCTCAACAAGTAGAAGAAGTTAGAGTTCCGGTATTCGCAGCCGTTTTTCTCTCTCTTGTTACGTAGGTGAAGGAAGGCATGACGCGTTGCCATTTACTAACCTATTATCAACTTATCTGGCGTGGCCAATGTAAATTATTAACGTAGTTAATGGGGCAAGAACTGAGTAGGGCCGTTTGACGCCAACACACTTGGTTTTAACTTCTCCCGCAACTTAACCGTAGATAAGGGATAGAATTGCGTTGAGACCGATTGACGCCAACACACCTGGTTTCAACTTCTCTCGCATCTTATCTAGCATGGCCATGGCCAATGTACATATAACCGTAGATAGGGGGAAGAATTGTGTTAAGACAGATGGACGCTAACACGCCCGGTTTCAACTTCTTCGGGTGAAATGACTAATGAACGCAGGAGATCAATCTATCAAACATGGTCTATCAAACATTTGTATCCATTTTACTTTTATTTATTATTTACTTGTTCCAGTTTTCCGTTACTTATGGTATATATGTTCCGTTTCTATTTTATTCTATTTTATAGTCACGCGTTTGAATAGTGGGAATTCCCCACCAAGTGTGGATTAGCAATGCTTAACCATTCTTTATTGTTAATATCAACACTTGATATATGAACATGGAATATCATATTATTTTTGGCTGTTTCATTTCAGACTTGGGGTATTAACAGGAAAATATCCATAACCTTTCAATACGACTATCTTGTGAAATTTAACGAAGAGCTTTCGCGACGAATTGGAACCAAATAAGCGAAAAGAGCGATTGATCACTCGCGCCAATACCTCGCCGTGATAATTAATGTCGCGCTTATCAAATAGCAATATGACGACAAAAGAGAGATTGCGTAATGAACCAAAACGACGGATTCCTCGCGGACCGTTGAAAATTTAACTGCTATCACATATAAATAAATATGAGCCTGTGTGTTTATTCTGTGCGAGATCCATTTTCTATTACAAAATCTTGATGTTCTGTTAACGGTTTTATCGTTATATATCAGTCCGAACTTGGCCTTGCTCATGATGTTTTTCACAATTCCTCTCAATATTTCGGCCATATATGATTAACTGTCTTACCAAATGCGGCAACTTATTTTGATTTATCGTCGACTTGAATACCACCGGCACTCGACCAAACTTTTGTCAATCTTGGCCGATAGGATCGCCGACTTGAGTTAGCAAATAAATGTTGTGAGTGTAAAATAAATGTCACAAAATGCATTGTTTTGCGATATAACTTTGTATTTTCGGAGAAGGCATGTCATATAAGTTCGGTATTTAAATTATACGCAAATAAATAATATTTGATCTAAATTTATCGCAAATAATGTTATAAACATTCAGTCCGCGAAATGATTGAATGTAAAATGAAGCATGGTAATAGGAATATCGTCAATAAGTCGACATCAAGAATTATTATTATAAAAATGCTAACAAGGCAGTAATGTCGGATAATGCAGAAAACGCTGCAAAAACAAGTCTTCGTCGCGAGGAAATCGTTGTTGGTTAATAAATTAGAAACCCGTAATTTTTATTCAGTACTCAGGTGGTTTTAAAAAACTATCGTTTCCATAAATATCCGTATACCAGTGTCGGTAATGATAAAATAAAATTGATCGCATAAACATGGGACGGTTAATTTGCGAAGGTGATAAAGAAAAACCAAAGCTAACACAAAAGATAAAAATCAGAATAAAATTAATTTGAATTCACTCCTTGATAGTTGTCTTCAACATCTGCCGCCGGCGTGTAGTACTGCCAAGAATAGGAAAACCCAACTTCAATGTCCCATTCGGAAAAAAAGTGGATTCAATTGGTTGTTACGATAGGTTTAAATGCGTGGGAAAATATCGCAATTACGGGGTCATTACGTAATTGATTTTGCCGTAATTACGGAATTGATTTTTGTCAATTACGTGCAGTCAAACAATACTATTTAAAGAAATAACAAGTACGGTTGGCTGATCCATCCATTTTGAACTTATAATTAGAGAAAATGGGTAAAATAATAAAATATTTTGCAATTATAAATTGGGCTGAAATTTATAGACTAAAATTTGAAATGGAAGAATGAAATTTTTGTTTAAGCAGTCAAATACTAGTACATTCATATATAAACGCTTACTGTATAATCGTCTTACCATCTTTCAGAAGTTTTGAGTCGTAACAATCGTATCTGAGAAATTGTTCACACGCTGTAGATATTTCGATGAGTTTCGCAATTTGGTCCATACTGACACCTTTGTAATCGATCGGTTGGGAAAGACATCCCGGCTTCTCACATCCAACGACTGCTGTGTTTGGCTAAAAAATAGTCCGAAATTTTTCAATTAATTTTATTTTTTATTTTTATTTTTTTATTATGCTTATGGTGCTACCACGGCTCTACGCGGGCATAAACCTATGCCTAAGGGTAATTACGTTCAGAACCACATGTTCAATAAGTCACCCATTTTGACAAACTGGTATATCAGGGAAACGAAATAATTGCTGGAATAATTTTAATGAATCGGTTCAGTTGAATTTCTACTTTCATTTATCATTGGCAATTGCTTTCAATTCTCCCATCAACCTCTAGTAAAGATTCGGTAAAAAAGTGCAATACTTACTGTGTGTGTGTGCTGTACAACCGATATTCCTGTTGTTGGATCGGAGTCCATATCACAATAAACAAGGAATGGTTCAACTCCGCCTTCGCCGTCTGGATCGATCATAGAGTAACCAGATTTCTTGTATCCCATTCTCTTGATGGCCGCACATGATGGCAAATGCTTGCTGATGGCCGAGCAGTTTTTGGCGCTCTGCAAAATATAGAAAATGAATTTATTCCACCTTAACCAAAATATAATATAGGCATTATGGTTTTATATCAGCTACTTCGATGATGGCTAATTTCATCAATGAAAACAAATTTTTATTATCGCAGTAGTGCACTGATCTAAGCTGAGTGATCCATTTGTGCCCCTTTTGAATATAAAATCACGTGACCTAGGTTTAGAATGTCGGTTAGGGTTTTGTTTCGAAGATTTTTCCATTACCTACTTGACAATACCAGAACAAGCTCGTTACGGCGATTGAAAGTCAAAAAATAACGTTTTTATGTGCATCGAGATGACGCACAACCTGACAGGTTGTATGAGAGGCGAAGAATAAATGTGTAAACCATGGGGTCTGGAATGTTTGTTATGGTCTTGTTTGGAAGATTAGCTCATTTCCTACCCAGCAATATAAGAATGAACGTTATATGACATTTGGAAGTGATGAAATATCGCTTACACTTCACGCGTGTACTTGAAAAACCCGCTGCGATAGAAAAACGTCGCACGACAAGAAAATAATTCAATAATACTCTGCGTTGCGCGCTAACCAATAACAAAAGCTAGTATGATAAGGTCTTATTTTGAAGGTCATTTTATATGCTACATAACATAGGAGTGTGGCCATCTCACAACGTCAGGAAGTTAAGAAGAATGAAGAATTTATTTGGATGTATCATCTTCCTATGTTCTATATTGATCATCGCGTTTCTGGGTAACACACATTAATTATATATTTATTTAATGTAGGTACTGAAATGTATTTTGACTGTATGTACTCTAGTCGTGAATTGGTTAACATACAAAATAAATTTATTTTCCCATAGCTGGAAAGTAATTGTTTTAAATTTGGTCGTCGTGTGTACCATACCCCAAAAGTCAGATTCTAATGTTCAAGTAAGAAAAAGCAAGTCTTGTCAATTCAAGAGAAAGTCAAATTTTTCAACTCAACAAATACTACAATAAATACAAATGAAATATCATAATTGACGTTTGGGTATATGCATACCCAAAAATGCCAGATGTGATATTGTTATGAAATAAAGCGATGTAAATTCGAAAGGAAATTCGAACTAATGGAATGTGACTAAGGAAATGAATACTCAAATATCACTAAAACTTGATACATTGTGTCGATTATAATCTTTCTACGTATTTGTTAGTCGCCTCCAAGTACCATAATGTGTAATTTCAGACTTTGGTCTCATATTTCCAGACAAACATATCGTTAACCTTTTATTTATTGATTGTGTTCATCTTTAGGCGAGGTCTTGTGACCTTGTTTGACAAAACTTTTACTTTTTTTACAAGATATAGGGATTGAATGACTTATGAAACAATTGAATGCTTTTCAAATCGACTGAGCTATTTGAAGGCAAGTTCTATTTGAGGAAAATAAGTTCTTGGTCGATGTTGTCTCTACCGTATGTCATTCTACTAAATCATACCAAACTGGGTACTTCCGTAGTGTGTGTACCAGGTTGGGGTTAGGCCATATTTTGATTCCTATTTTCCCATTTTTAGTTCTCTTCAAGTTGGGTGACTGTCTGTGTTAGCCAAGCGAATATACCCCCTGCCCATACGTTTCAGTCCCTTCACACAACTTGATGTAAAGTAGGCGAACAGAATTATTTACCTCCATATTGGTACAACACTTCTGAAGCATCCCAAACTGTATTGATATTATTAACTTACTCGCAATGTCTTGACTCCGCTTTGTAATTTGTCGTAATCTGTTTGTAATTTCTCCATTTCTTCCCGAACTCTGTTAAAATCGTCCAGAAGTTTTGTGTAATTTCCTTGCAATGGCACATACTTGGCTTGAATACCTTGAAGCTGGCTTCTTGCGTCTTCTAATTCAACAGTCAGTTGCAATCGCCTTCATAAAATAGATCAATGTTAGTTACGAGATAATATTTTTATTCTGTGTTATTATCACGCGAGTCAATTGCGATGCATGGTTTCATATAAAACAAAAAGACATCTTCGTATAATCAGGTTACGGATTAGTTGAACTGAACTGTCTGTTTTATTTGAATTGTGGGAGGTAATACAATTCCAACGCCGACAAATGTGAGCAAGCCTGAATTATACACCAAATTCTATTTGCTTTTAAACCAGTGGTTCTCAAGCGGTGGGGCGCGCCCAACAATGGGGTCGTAGACAATTTTTTAAAAAGGCGGGAAGCTAATTAAAACTAAAAATATTTATTAGATTTGATCTTGACCGCGTCATTTTGATTATTTATATTTCAAAATTTTACAATTATTTCCTAATTCTTGTTTCATCCACGTGTTTTCAGCATGTTTTTTTTTTGAATAAAACATACTTTCGCTAGTTATTTTCGAGGTGGGCCCAAGACTTGACAAATTCTAAAAATGGGCGAAGCTTAAAATTTTGTGAGCCACTGTTTTAAACTACAGTATACACCCAAAGCGAGAGATTGCACCGGTAGTATATATATTCCACATCAGCCTGTCATTGACCTGATTACTAAGTGGTCAATAAATGTGGCTGATGTAAGTTTGACAAAATAGATTAACTAAAACGACCCGTGTATAAAAACTGTTTGGAAGTTAAAAAAAGAGAACCATTTTGACTCTCGAGAGCGTAACCAGGTAAAGTAGTAGATGGCTATAAATGTGTGATAATCACGTAGGTACTATCAAGTCAAGTTTATTTTATCCAACCAGTAAAAAAACAATCACATACATTATTCAAAAAAGAGGTAATCGAACAATTTTACTGTGGAAGTGAAGGCGTGGGGAATAAAATCTGGTTATCGAGCAGCGACACCCAAGGTTCTTATATCTAGTTAAAAAATCGGGTAATGTAATTATAGAAATACTGTGATTGAAAATCAATGAATTGAAAACAGGGCAGTTTCAACACTTGCAACAACATATATATATACGTGTGGATAATTCTTACTTATTTTCCTCTGCGTCTTTTTCGGCTTGCAATCGTTGAGCGTCTGCAACCAATGTCGTTCTCTCTTGTTCGAGCTGTCGTACATGAGCTTCTAATTCGCCGATTTTGTGCCAACTTTGTTTGTTTTCTTGTAAAACGCTTAATACTGCGGTCATCTCTGTTTGTCGTCTTTCCAAATCTTTGAAAAAAATTTTCATCCATTTATATTCTGCGGTCTGTGATAGCGAAAATTGGATTTGGCGACAACACAATGAACTGATAATGTTAACTTTGATGAGATGAACATGTCAATTAACGAGGTAGTTTTTATTCCCAGATCACAAATCATGAAGCCCAAATGCTATATACACATGACTTGCCGCTTGTGTATGAGCTTTGTCGGCGAAGGCATGGGTGCAATCATTTTATGAAAGACATTTTCGATAATCCATGTAAACCGTAATATCAAACTTGAATTATTCAAATAATGAGTATATATATAAAAAATACGGTTATTCGGAATTTGACACGTCAGAAAGATTGCATTCGTCAACATTTTTCTGTTGATACATCATGACAATTGTAGTTGGAGTAAGTCACTGAGCTTTCTAGGAATTCACGCAGATTAGAACATGACTTATTATTTATTTAAAATATAGAACAGCATACCTTTTATTTTATCTGACATTGCCTCGACTGTCGATTTTAATCCCGGACATTGATCTCTGTCTTTCTTTGGGACAACGAAACTAAAAACATAAATCAGTATTATCTTTCGAGTTTTAGAGTTTTGGGTCGTAGAAATTCTTTTATACATAAAGGCTTTAATACAAAAAATTGCGTGTCCGTACAATTGGAATCGGGTAAATTTGAACAAATACGACTTGAAGTTACAAAATAACTATATTTACTTCGACGTTTCGCCATATTAAACATAGGTAATAAGCATAGGCGTTTTTTAATGATGTATATCAAGCGAATTCAACAAGTGCTAGGTCATCTTGTATGCATCATATTATTTTCGGCGCTTCCGAAGTATTCGTACCAAGATGGCGCACAACCTGAACATAGTATGTGTACCAGGTTAGGGTTGTCCATGTTGTGCGTTATTTTGGTACGAATACTTCGGGAGGGTTCCATTACATTTTAACCTTGTTGCACCATGACAATTGCACCTGCATACTATTACACCTATGGAAATTATTTTTGTTTTACAGATATTTTAACCCATACGAACCCTAACTCATGGGTTTTGGCACCCACATATAGATTGAACCCGCGGATATACACATGGGTTCAAATGTACATGGGCTGAAATGTACGGTCACCCTTCGGGAGCACTTTATTTTCAATATTGTTATCTTCTGAATACATGTCGTAGCATTTTCATATAGCTATACCTCAGTTTCTGAGATCTTCCTCCAGTCAATTTGCTTCTATTTTTTGGTATTTTTGTTTATTCAAGTTAAAATTCGCGGTTGACTTATCCCTATTACTTACCGCGATATTTTACAGTTTACACTTTGCTGTAATCCCTCAGAGAATGTAAGTGTTGTTCATTGTGAATTTATGAAATCGAATTGTGTTACCAAATTTAACCGCATTGAAACTTACTCTATTAGAGTTTACATTTCTTCAAAAAACAACATGTTGTTACAGTTAATTTATGAATATGATATAGCCACGCGAAAGTAATTCAGGTTCTTGAGAATTGCGGTTTCACGTACTTCGCGTTAACACGGCATTATAAGTTTATTATCGACTTATTAATGGCTTTCAATTTCTCAGTGCTCAATTTTCCTTGCAATCAGTATTTGGTAGTTTACAACAATACGTCATGGTCATAAATGTCTATCAAAAATCGTTTGATACAATTCAAGTTTTCCTCCGATGGGAAACAGTACTCGAGGTAGTAATATTATCATTATCACTCAATGTACCGCCATATAAGTTTCCTCGTGAGCCCGGAGGGCATTGGTATAATAACCAGCCCTACTGGTTTTAAATTATGAAACTAATTGAAACCATTAAAAATTTCCACTCCGATAACTTTTAACAGGGGTGCAATACGATATTTACAACCGGACACGTCTGAAATTAGTAGATGTTAATTGCTCCGGAATACACACGTTACGGCATGTGAAAGTCGCACCGGAAAGTTTGCTCCGGATATGGATTCTAACAACAGAAACTTAATCCGTGTTTTGATGATTGTGTGAAAATGGATTATGTGGTTACGACGCCAATAACCACCGTTTTTATGACATATTTTCACTTGAAATGGGCAACGCATTATATGGATTTTGATGAACATGTTTTCCAATCAAAGCTAATCATTTGCCGAAGAGATGTAAGATATCTTTGAATGTTAAAGAATCTGGCCTCGCACTGAGATAATGATTATCATATTTTATTATCTGGACTGTTTTAAATTGGAGCTTCATATATATCGTCTTTTATGTTCAACATGATCTATTTATATACAAATATTTAGACCAGAAAAACAATTTAAAGTATATTTCAAATTGTTCTATTTTTCCTATTATTGTGTCTAATATACATTGTCTAGTCATTGAAATACCGATAATCAAAGTGGAATACAGATATTTCATGCACCAATCTTTACCAAACTCTAAAAATGAAGGGCGTTTTTTGCAATACGTTTATTTCAAATAAAAATAATAAAGGGGAGTTAGATGTTTATGAAACAACAAACTTTATACTGAAAATAAAACTTTGGCATCGTGATTCAATTTGCGTTAGAATCGTGAATTACATAATTTATCATTTTACACACAAAATTCAATCAGGTAGTGCTCATTTCCATTTACTTATTATTCGTTTAAATATTTTTGCTTGTAAGATAGTGTCTAATATTAAGATGGACAAATCTGAGGTACGCGCATACATCAAAAATAAAATAACATGCATTCGTCATGAATTTTCGAATGATACATAGGAATGGTACGCATAAGTAGCATATCACAGTTTCATCTAATCAATGATTAAACTTTTCGACGTCCCTCTGTATTTTAATACTTATAACTTTTACTTTAAATGATTGTTCTAGCATTTGCATACCTGTAAACACATTGATCTTCTTTTGTATATCGATTCAAATATCCAGCATAATATCCGGGAGGTTGCGTTGAAGTACTTTGTCCATGATTCCCGCTCACAAACAGCATAATACACCCAACCACTGCCGTGAAGGCAAAACCCCTCATGTTTGAGTTATGATTAAAATATTACTATGACCTCATATGCTCTATGAAAGGTAAAGAATAGATTCAGTTGTCGAACATGTGGGTGGATCTCAACCAATGTTTGATGTTTCTGACTGCAGTCCTAGCATGTTTTGGATTCGAGTTAGCTGTTTTAACCAGTAAGCGAATATAACATTCATTTTGACGAGATTCCTTTCAACGCATCAACTATTACTGAAACGTGTTTTTCACCTATGCTCTTTCCACTGAATCAATTGATAGTTGCCTGATGTTCCAACGAAAGTGAAGTTTCTTTCGTTATGTCATTGCTACCCTGTTGTCTATATGTGTGTGAAAAAACCTAACATTATGTTTTGATGTAAAACTTGAACTAACTTTTAAGGAAGCATGACGTGATATGGAAATAGCCCTCCAGTCTCTATTCAGTGAATGATAGATTGTTCTGATACTTAGTATCTCAGACGCGTCATTTCCCGTAGGCTCTATAATTTATGATGCCACTATATTACAATCTCAAAATGTGTAAATACAATGAAAGGAACCTGTTAAAATATGGAAACTCTACTCGAGCAAATGGTATCTTAATTCTGTCATGGTTTTTCCCAAGAAAAACTTTATTGGGGTTCACCTTTAGAATATTCCTATTCCAGAAAGCGATAAGTTGTGTTAAAGTGCCAGAATCAATGCTATTCTATATCTAACATCACTGGCGCAATAGCACGAGGGAACAAATTATTACTTCTCTTCAGACGAATGGGCTCCAACTTTATATGTAAACTTCAGAAACGTTGAATAAATTGTGTTGAAGTCAAAATACTCAGCATACGTTCCTTCCCTTCGACTTGACATTCTTCTAATACTCTTCAGCTTTACTTATAGTTTCATTTACTTGGGTATCCCGACGCAACATATATATGTAACCGTAACTTGCCAAGCTAACACGTAGCGAAATATATCAGGTGAAAGTCTACCGCATGCACTCTACGATGTCCCGGTTGGTTTAAACGCAAAGTTCAACCAGCTCAGCTTAATTATGTAACTGTACCTCAATCTGTCACAACTATTGTGAAAAGTTTGTTAGAAATTCTCGAATGAAAGCGGATTTACTTGTAATTCGCCTGAGGGACTTGAGGAGGCGGCAGTGTATGACGATGTTGTGCGAACGGTGCCCTGGGGGCATTATGTGAACATTGTTGTATTTACCAGACGCAATCATTCGTTTAACACGATTGTAACACGAATCGTTTCGCCAGTTATAAAATTTTATGAAAACCAGTTTTTCAACCTGACATACCAATATTACAGATTTTATGACAATGACGCCACATGATATTTCAGGTGATATTGAAACCGCAAAAGCAATGCGTTGGCTCTTATTTCTATTCTTTTTTATCAAACCTGAAATTAAAATACTGATATAAATATACTAAAATACCCTTCATGTGCCGTATTGCATCTTACTTTATTAAAGGAAGTTGAATTTCTCAAATCAATGTCCGAAGGTTGTGGTGAGTGGATTTTGTCACAACCACTGTGAGTAATCCGCCATGTGTTTACATTCATTGTATTAAGTATATACTGCGGTGGAAGTATTAAGTATTTTACATACCAAATCGGCATAACCAACTACTTGTTTTGAATGGTCATAAGGTGATTTGAACTTCGTAATGTACCGACAGCAAGCACTATGCAGTTCCACATATTCCGAATGTACGAACCTTGAATGATATTTTCACTTTAAAGTAAATGCCAATTTGACTAGAGAGGGCCGAATCATTGAACAGCTGATGATCTTCTATATCCCTGCAGTTTCCGAAAATATTGTAGACTCAAAGTTGATTATAAATTCTAGTTTCATTTATTATATATATATATATATATCTAAAGATACCAGGTTATTATCGGGTTCAGATGATCCGGAATACGTGAGATGGCCCTTTGTTCTTTAGTAATTAATTTTAGGTGAGTGAACACGTACCACTTCTTTTTTGCAAAACCTTCCATCCTGTATTCTGTACGTTTTAAACCTTATACAAGATTTTGTTTGCTTTCCTGATTACAGTTTTTATTTGTTTGTTTTTAAGGACCATTTTATCGCTTTTTAGGTGTGACTGAACTGAAGTTATACTATTTTTTATTGTTTTATATTTCATTTATATTTCTTGTCTAATTATTGCAAATACATTGGTGTGTGGAGTCTGAGCCTTAATTCGCCCGATAGTCAGGTCATGTTGCTTGACTCCAACCACCACTGCATATGTGAACTGTGCTGCGGTTCGCAGCGTCTGCTCTTCTTGCTTTTGCTGTCGTCGAGTGAGCATCCTGTTTGTCCTCTGATATTTTATCTGCTGTAATCGATGTGTTTTATGTTGTAATAAAGTCTCTTCGTTGCATTGTGAATTTCGAATCTATTTGTGTGAATTTGCAGCACATGGGATCTCCTAAACCAGCGTTTCCCAACCTTTTTTGGTCGCGGACTATTTTCTCACCGGCGAAAACCTTTGCGGACTCAAGGTGCGTTTATTGCAACCGTAGCCTACTCTGTGTGAAGAAGTAAATAAAACCAAACACAACAGAATTTTAACGGCACAATATCCAATCCATGACAACGACGAGAATTCAAAATGTCTTTCTATTTTACTTTAATTGTGTTCATGGTAACTCGCGGTTGGGTCGACGGGTTACGACAAGATGAAAGCATTACTTCTTTAAAATGCCACGGCAATCTGCGAACATAATAATGTGAGAATATATTGCCCGATTATATTTAGTTTTGATACATATTTTTTTGCGATCTTGCGAATTTGTTATCGTCGTTAGAAAAATCCTACCAGCTGCTATAAATTCCAGAAAGTACAACTTGAGTCAGTACTTATTAAGAATATATTCAAAGTACATTAGTAAATCGAAAATACATATTCATCGCCTTGTTTTATTATTAATTTAATTGTGATCATTTTAATCTGCGGCTGTGTGGACGAAATAAAGCAATACTACTCAGAAAATATCATGACAATCCGTGGACATAGAAATGTATGGCAATTTGCCCGATTATATTTTGTTTTAATTCTTGTTTTTGTGAATTCGACAAATCTGAGCTGTTCTTACAACACATACGGCGGGTATACTGTACGTACCAATGTGGAGGGAGTAAAGCAAATAATCCTAAGGGAAAAAAATGATGGTGTTCCCCGTTTTATTTTTAGTATTTTGTATTGCCGCTTTTCAATTTAGAAAATTTGGGTTGCCACAATTGACACCTACCAGAAAAAAAAATTATTCCTCGTTGTTCGAACTCGCGAAAACCACCATCTATCGATACGTGTGCAGACTCGTGATTTTGTCGGAAATCCGCAAGTGAGTCCCATCGTTTGATTGAGCGACGCGCAAGTGACCTGTCGCATCACCTGTTACTAAAGTTTCGAATAGTAAATTGCTATTCCAATAGTTGAATATATGCCCAGCTCATTATTCAGTAATTATTAACTCGATTAATGTTATGTGAATAAACTTTCTTTTTATGTAAATTCTAACGTAAATCGTAACTTGGCTGATAGTTAAGTTTTGCAAAAACGTTCGCGGCCCGCAGTGAATTTTTGGCTCGTTGTGGACTCATTCAAATGCTCTGCGGACTCATTTGAGACCGCGGACTCGGGTTGGGAAACACTGTCCTAAACTAATTATTTGTGGCGAGCACATATTCCGGTGAAGGCGCACTGCTGCATATGCTGATTATGGAGTCGAAATAAACTTATCTATCTTATCTAGTGCGAAAGTCCATGCGTACGAATATTATTTCATTTTTGCTTAGAAACGAGGCAGTGTTTCAAATTGCAAACCTGCTAAGCATATAAAAACATTTCAAAAAAAACAAACATAGATGAATACCAAGACGGGCAGAAGAATTCCATTTCAACGTAATATAAAGTGTAACAGGAGTGTAACAAGCCCTTTAATTCTAGGTCGCAACTCTTCATTACATAGATTCAGCTTATTGCGACTTCAAATGTCTAGTTACATATTAGCGAGCATAGCTCTAACAAAGTTTGCGCAGCGTATAGAAATACCTACCATCTGTATTTCATTCTTCAAAATTGAAGTGAAAACGCGAGACACCGGGAAAAACCGTGCATGTTCCAACATGAACCGTTGCAGGGAGCTATCGCAGAAACCAACACCAGTTGACCAGTCCAGTCGTAAACTGTACCTACACGAGCGTAAAGGCGGGAGAAAACCCATTGACTTTGGAAAGGCAAAAATTACAAAGAGCGAAACAGCAGACAAACGCTGGAGAAAGACACGGCTTGGATGGCAGCCAGATCTTCTTGCCGGCAATATCGATTTGAAACGGCAAAGAAGGTACGGCATTAATCCACTGTGCAATTGTATTTCTTTTTTCATCACTGTTAACCAAGTATTGATTGAAATCCTGAGAAGCGATCTTGGCAATACATGACATGAACGTATGGGGTAATAAAATCCACAGCGTTGATTGCGCCCTGGCGTGATTTGTTTGCTCGCCCTTTTGATGACGCGGTTTAAACTGACAGTTCTTCTCGGAGTCATAGTTTACCAATAAACAAAATGGGACCGTAAAAGTATTAGCATTCATCAATTTCCACACTTGCGTACTCTCTCAATATAACCCATAAATTGTGATTACACCTTTATTACCTTCAAAACTGAACTATATGGATTTTCCCCCGAGCATCGACTTCCTTGTTTACTTCGTGACATTGGCCAATCGACAAGATGCAAAAAGTGACGTAACAATGCTCGCTTTTCGCGTCCGCTCAGACACTTTTCTCACTCAGACAGATTTTCAAGCGTGGTCGTAAACATTACCTCGTTTTCGCGTTTTTGAACTATATTCGTTAGTTTTCTGTTGTGTTTCGGAATCAGAAAAATCAGATAATTCAATGATCACTTTGTCTTCCTAGAAGTTTTAATTCAATTGCAGTAATAAAAAATTGGTGTAGAAATAGCTGTGATTTACTAGGCTAAAATCCTTTACCGTTAATTTTTTAAAAACAGATTGCTGTA